GTCTTCCATCAATTGTCCATACAGATATGCTGATTTTATATCTATCTAATGTATTTCATAATTATTAGATGCTGCCCATACTAATATTAATTGTACTGTAGATAGTCTAGCAGTAGGAGCAAATAAATCGTCTGTATGATAGTCAAGACTGTCAATCTGATAGTTTCCTTGAACTACTAATTGTGCTTTATATTTTTCTATACTATTATCAGTGTATTGCTTTATTTTATAGACAAATTGTGTTCCAATGATGTTAATATTATTGTGTGGATTTGTGATTTCCTATGTATTATGATTTTCTAATTGTTTTATTTTGTCTTTCATAGCTGTAATCTATGAATCACAATCTGGACATTGGATTGCTTCATAAAATGAAGTTGGATCCAATTGTATTTCACTTATTTTAGTATTAAATTCTGTTAAATGAATGGCAATATTATCTTCATCCTTTTTGCTAAGTGCATACATGTGTTTTGTTATGTGTTTATTCTCTATACATTGTTCAAGCTCAATAGCACATTCTGTTAGTTTCTGTTTCCATTCCAATCAATGTAATTTAGGTTCTACTTCTTTTTCAGTTAATTTAACTTTGTTGTCTGTTAAGTCTGTTGGTTCTGCTGCTTTTCCTTTTTTGTTAGGATCAGCATTGTCTGTATCATTGTTGTCTGTTCTTGTTATTCTATTGTCTGTTTCATTATTTTTAATTATTAAATGCTTGTTTGTATTGTTGTTTGTATTGTCTATTTTCTCCCCTTCAATTTGAGAAGGTTTACCTTTGAGAAATTGAATATTTTGTTTGATAGTAATTTTATTATTGTGCCAAGTTTTATAGCCTTTACTTTCATTGTCTAATCCTATCCAACAAGCAATGATACCTTACTGTTGTATTTTTGTAGGATTTTTGTTGCAAATGATAATATATTGACCAAATTCATATATATTATCAATTGTTCTGTGTGTTCTGTAATGTTTGTAATGTAGGGTATTATAATTTAAAGCAGTACACAGTGTTCTATTATGAATATAGGTAATATGAATTACTACTTCAGCCTATAATGTAAACAGTAATTTAGTAGATGTTAGATATGCTCTTACACCTCTAAATATAGTTTTATGTGTTTGTTCTGCTATTCTGTTCTGTTGTAGAGTATGATGTACTGTTAATCTTTGTTTTGTTCCTTGTGAATCTAAATATTGTTGGAAATCTTCACTAAGAAATACAGTATCATTATCACTTTGTAAAAGCTTTATTTTAACTCTGTGCTGTGTAAATATTTTGGTTGTCTATTGTATATATTGTGTATATGCATTGGATTTTGTTTGTAATTTGAGCATTATGTACCAACAAGTAGAATTGTCTACAATTGTTAATAAGTAGTGTATGTTCTTATACACATGTAGTTCAATAGGACCAATAATATTAATATGAATAAGATCTCCAAATTGATTTGCAAGAGGAGATTGATGTAGTTTTGGTATTAGTGTATGTTCAATGTTTGCTTTTATACATTCAATACATTCTTTTTCTTCATAGTTTGTTATTTTAGTTGATAGTACACTTGGTTGTGTCTTTAATAATTGTTTAATATAATTGTAACTTATGTGTCTGAGACATTTATGTATATCATAAATAGATAGTTTGTTCATTGTTTTTAATAAGTGATTATTGTACAAA